GCGGGCTGGGGCGGCGGGCCGCGCGCTTACTGTCCAGGTAGTGCTCCAAGTACATGGCGGTCGCCATCTTCTCCGCGCCGCGCTCGGCTCTGCGCGGGCGGGCGGTGCCGGCGTGAGGGGGCGGGGCGCGCCGGGCTTCACTATTCATGAGCCCGCGCGCTGATTGGCGTGCGTGAACGAAGGGGCGGGACGAACCCAGGGCCCGCCCCTCGGCTTCCGCCCTGCGGCGCGAGCGTAGTGCCGATTGCTGAGGCTGAGGCGCGGGGCGCGGGCACGAGGGGCGGGGACGAGGGAACGGGGGTACACGGGAACGGGGGTTGGGAGAACGAGGGTAAGGGGGCCACGAGGTACGGGCGGGACGAGGGCCGCGGGGACACGGGGGCACGGAACGGAGCCATATCGGAGGCTGCACGTGCGGCCTCCCGGTCCGCGTTTGGGGTTCAATGCGCCGACCCTCCGTCCCTTCGTCCTCGCCGCACGATCCCCCGTCACGTCCTGTCATCAAAACCCACCAGGAAGCCGGCGCGCTCACCGCAGCCCGGCCCCTCGCCCCCGGCCCTGCGTGGCCCCCGCCGTCAGCGTGCAGTCTTCCAGCTTGTATCCCCGGAGGGCCGCGGGCGCACGTGTCCCCATTGTCCCCTCGCTCGTCTTCACCGCCACCACCACGTTGCCTCGGTCAGGTCCCTCCTGACCCCTCCGCTGGCAATAGCCCCCCGCCCCCATGCGCATCTAGTCGGTGGGTTCACCTTCCCCTTCCGCTGCCCCTCACAGAAGGGGAGCGCTGCGCCAGCCCACCGCACACCCGGTGCCGTGTAACAATGTGATACAATATTAACGGGGTAAAACGGTGCACAGAAGTGTAGCTAAAGCACGTGTAAATACCCTGGGAGGGAAGAGATGAAAATGCCCTTAGAGGTGGGATTCAGGGTGGTTCTTTTCTGTGTCTGCACTTTGTGATGTCATGTGGATGCCGCTCACCAGGATCGTTTTTCCTCTTCTCGGCTGCACTCAGGACCGCCCCAGCGGGGCTGCCCTACTGATTGCCGGCCAGAAACCATGCGAGAAGAGCCACATCGCCGGCCTGCGGGTGTGAACTCTCCTCACTCAAATTGGCCAGAGGTAGAGAATCCCTGCAGGCTCCGGGGGAAAGGTGACCACTGGGTGGAAAAACCTGGGGCCAGTTCGCATCCCCCAGCCCTCATCACTGTGTGGAGCCAAGATCCCAGGTCTGGGCTTCGAACTGGTTCATTTTGCTTCAAACCCCTACTGAGAATGCATTTCTAACAAGTTCCCAGGCGATGCTAATGCTCCAGGTTAGGGACCAATTCTGAGAATACTGGTACAGCAGTGGTTCTCAAAATTTATTATACATAAGAATCACCTAGGGGTCTTGTTAAAATGTAGATTCTGATCCAGTATATCTGGGGTGGAAATGCAAATTCTTAGCAAGGGGTTGAATCTGAACAAACTGGTTCAAAGTTCAAAGTCCCATCCCAGGGTTGTTGGCTATACAAATCAGCACAACCTCACCTATGAAAATTCCATAACTTGGAGCATATTTTTAGTTTTTTTATTGTGCTTAGGTGAAAGTTTACATAGCAAATTAATTTCTCATTCAACAAGTTATACACAAATTGTTTTGTAACATTGGTTGCAATCCCCCCGATGTGCCAACACTCTCCCCTTATCCACCCTGGGTTCCCCATTTCTATTTATCCCGTTCTCCTGTCCCTTACTGCCTTGTTTTGCTTTTGGGCAGATGTTGCCCATCTGGTGTCATTTACATGATTGAGCTAAGAAACATGTTCCTCACATGTTACTGTTTGTTTTATAGACCTGTGAAATCTTTGGCTGAAGGGTGAACTTAGGGAGTGACTTCAGTTCTGAGTTAGCAGGGTGTTCGGGGACCATAGTCTCAGGTTTCCTCCAGTCTCTGTCAGACCAGTTAGGTCTGGTCTTTTTTTGTGAATTTGAATTTTGTTCTACATTTTTCTCCTGCTCTGTCTGGGACCCTCTGTTGTGATCCCTGTTAGAGTGGTGGGTGATGGTGGCCAGGAACCATGTAGTTCTGGGCTCAGGCTGGTGGAGGCCGTGGAATTTGTGGTCCACTAGGCCTTTGGACTACCATTCCCCATGTGTCTTTGGTTTTCTTCATTCTCCTTAGCTTCAGATGGGATGGGTAAAGCATATTTTTAGAGCTACAATCCCCTTTAACTCTCCCCCAAGCCACAGGGAAATACTGAAAAACAGAAACGTTGTTTTTGGCAATTTTACACTCTTATAAAAGTTCAGACCATATAAGAGCTTATAAAATAGTTTTCCCACTTCAGGGCACAGGACTCTGATTGTTTGTCTTTTACTACAAGTGTTAGCAGTTCAGGGTGCATCCTTCCTGGAGCCAGTTAATACTTGATGAGGAAACACACACACACACATGCATGTTCAACAGAAACATGATTACACATAACCCACTTCTCTACTACTTAGATTTTAACTTACTACTCTCACACAGAAAACCCTGCTGGCTAATGGTTAAGTGCTACAGCTGCTAATCATAAAGGTCAGTAGTTCAAAACCACCAGATGCTCCTTGGAAACTCTATGGGGCAGTTCTACTCTGTCCTGTAGGGTCGCTATGAGTCTGAATCGACTCAACAGCAAGGGCTTTTTTTTTCCCCTCTAACATGAACAACTGGCCCCCAAGCCTTACTCAATTCTACCTCGTCCTGTTTACTAGATACAGTTAACGGTGCTGGTGTACCATACTTTATTTTGCAAACTCCTGACCAATGTACAATGTTTTGTTTCTAATTTTGCATGATTATAAGCAGTGCCCCAGTGAACATCACACACATCCAGCTGTATGTATTTGTTGGCTCTGGTCACTGTTGCTTTGTAGCAGACTACCTGAAAACTTGGTGGTTGAAACAGCCATTATGTTTCACAGCTGTATGAGGAGTTCCAGCATAGCTCAGCAGGGTGATTCTTCTGTTCTCTGTGACATGACAGAGAACACTGGGATGGCTGGAAGGCTGGTCCAGTTGGGACTGGAGACCAGAGCATCTGCACACAGCCTCTCTGGCATAGCCAAGTCAGGTAGCAGCACTTCTTACATGACCATCCAGGGCTTCCAGAGTTCCAAGAGGCCCTCATAGAAGCTGCAAGACTCTTATGACCTCACCTGGAAATTCCCAAGACATCACTTCCTCTACATTCTGTTACAAACAGAGCATTGGGGCCAACCAGATTCCAGCAGAATTACACCTCAACTCTCAATGGAAGGAAAAGCAAGGATTTCCTGCCGTCTTTAATCTACCACATTGTCTAATTAGTTCTTTAGAATAACTTCTTAGAAATGGTATTGCTGGCTCAAAAGGTACTGTTGTTGTTAGGTGCCGTCAAGTTGGTTCTGACTCATAGTGAGTCCATGCACAACAGAACGAAACACTGCTGGGTCCTGCGCCATTCTCACAATCATTGCTATGTTTCAGCCCATTGTTGCAGCCACTGTGTCATTCCATTTCCTTGAGGGTCTTCCTCTTTTTCGCTGACCCTCTACCAAGCATGCTGTCCTTCTCGAGGGACTTAGTCCCTTCCAATAACATGTCCAAAGTGAGTGATACAAAGTCTCACTATCCTCGCTTCTGACTGAGGAGCATTCTGGCTGTACTTCTTCCAAAACAGACTTGTTCATCCTTCTGGCAGTCCATGGGATATTCAATATTCTTCACCAACACCGTAATTCAAATACATCAATTCTTCTTCGGTCTTCTTTATTCATTGTCTAGCTTTCACATGCCTATGAGGCAACTGAAAATACTATGGCTTGGGTCAGGTGCTCCTTAGTCCTCAAAGTGACATCTTTGCTTAACACTTTAAAGAGGTCTTTTGCAGCAGATTTGCCCAGTGCAATATGTCATTTGATTTCTTGACTGCTGCTTCCGTGGGTGTTGATTGTGGATCCAAGTAAAATGAAATCCTTGACCACTTCAATCTTTTCTCCATTTATCACAATGTTGCTTACTGGTCCAGTTGTGAAGATTTTTGTTTTATGTTGAGGTGTCATCTATACTGAAGGCTGTGGTCTTTGATCTTCTTCAGTAAGTGCGTCACGTCCTCTTCACTTTCAGCAAGCAAGGTTGTGTTATCTGCATATCGCAGGTTGTTAATGAGTCTTCCTCTAATCCTGATGCCATGGTCTTCTTCATGTAGTCCAGCTTCTCAGATCATTCGTTCAGCATACAGATTGAAATAAGTATGGTGAAAGGAAACAACCCTGACTGCAAGGCAATGGGTTTCTCTTTTTCTATGGCCTTCCTGGCCATGGTCTTCTAACTCCCACAAAATAACTGGGTGGGACTATGCAAATAAGGTGTGTAAAAATCTTGCCGGGATTGGCTGGGACTATGCAAATAAAGTGCCTGTGGCCTGCCAAGAGGATTGGTTATTTTGTGGTCTTGCTGGGGGGCCGGGTTGTGAAGCATGCCTTGAAATCAATAAGCAGCTTTCTATATGACCAGCTTACCCTGACAGAGGGTTTTAGAGACACAGAGAAGGGAGAAGTTGTAACACCAAAGAGAGTGAGAGGCTGCACGGCAGTGGCACGAGCAACAGCAGCATGAGACAGTGGAAACCAGGAGACTGGCAAGAGAGGGCCGCGGTGGAGTCTGCCGACTCCTGAGGCTGAAGGGCTGTAATACTTTCCCGAGAAGGGCAACGGCCAGGCCCAAGCAGAGCCCGGCGGCAGGAGGCTTAGCGCCTGCCTGCAGGCACCGCCAAGCAGTCCTGATCAAAGAGCTGTATCCTGAGCTGCTCCTGTTTCAACTTGATCCTGAATTGTAACCTGTTAACTTCCCAATAAACCACTTAACTGTAAGTACAGTTCATGAGTTCTGTGAGACATTGCAGAGAATTACTGAACTCAAAAACAGGAGGAAGAATTCTGAGGGGAGGGGAAATTGTTGGTGTTAGACACGGAGTGGCACAGTAATTTGGAGAAGCAGGACATTTGAGACATCTTTAACCTCCGCCTCGCAGGAGCCAGCTTTGTGCTGATTCTTATTAAGAAACTATTAATTTACCTGACGGGCACCTTTTGATTTTAAAC